AACGTCAGAAATATCGTTGAGTTCAAGGCTTTATACAGTAGCCCAACAAAGCCTTGTTTTTGACATTTTGAATAAAAAAAAAAAGCTTCCTGGATGGGAAGAGGGGATTAGTTCTAGTTACATCAGCGGCACTTGATCACAACCAGCAAATGTCTGACTAGCTGGTCAGTTTTCACCACTTCAAGAATGGGTTTACTTTTTTAACATCTCCAGTACCAACATTTTCAAGGAAAGTTACTATATATTTATTTAGGTCTTTACATTCATGCTTCTTTTCTCTGAAGTTATAATGTGTATGATGATTTAGATATAAATGTTACAAATAACAAACAAACAAACAAACAGAAGACCTGCAACAGGGCAAATCAGTTTCATGTACTGCCCAGTGATCCTGTCCTTATTGGTGCTCCAGCCATACAGAGTTGTATACATAGATCACACTTTTGGCTTCATTGGTCCATAAACAGGGCAGTTAAGACACTCTTATTAGCTACTGAACCCATTTAGTTGTCCTTTCATTGGCCTTTTCATTTATTATTAAAGCAGGATCAAGGGATTTGTTGTTTATTGATGAATAGTTACAGTTATTGTTTGTTTAACAGAAGAGCTCAATATTTATTTCAAGGTAATTTCATTCATCTCTTCATTTACTTAACTGTTTCTTTGCTCAGTGCTGAAATCCTGATTTCTTTTAAAAGTCAAACACCTACTTGTTTATAACTGCCTTTGACTGTTAAAGGGAAACTAAGTTTATTAGTTTGTGGTCCAACTGTTTGAGTTTTTCTACTACCTGCTTTTATTATATTTTACTTGCATTTATTCTTTTTTTATTTACCTTCTATTTTATTGTCTCATTCATGTAAAGTACTTTGAATTGTCTTTGTACTAAACTGTGCTATATAAATAAACTTGCCTTGCTCTACATTTCAGGGAATTAAATTAAGAGCAATATCTGTCTAGTTAAAGTAAATGTTATCTTAATGTTATTTTAATTTCCTTGTTTTATTTTATTACTATTTCAATGATACTATAAGTTCAAGTGTTTATTATTTTTATTTACAACAGAATAAAACAGTATGCTTAAATAAATAAATGGTAAGAAAATAATTGTTCTGATAAGAATTCAAGGGAAATATTATTTGTTATGGAATTTCAGATGTAAAAGGCAAATTAACGCATAAAGGTACAAAAAACAGAAACAAATATATTAAAAGTTAGATAAGACAGCAGCAAAGAAAAATACACCTAAAGAGACCCCATTGTGCAGTTATTAAAGAATGGGTTTTAAATAAAAAATGTCGTATATACCATTGTCATACATAACGAGCCAAAATGCATGTATACCAAAGTCCTGTTAAAATGGATCTAGTCCCATCACTAGCAATCAATCACAACACCCTTTTTTCAACAACAACACCAGAATATTAATGCCCTAAATGCCCAAAGCTCCCACAGGCTTATATGCACTTATGCCTGGAGATGGGAGTGGAAGAGTTGTCTTGAAACATCCTGCTGTCTCTGGTGTATCAGACACATCGATCATCAGAGGACTTTATTTGCACAAGTCGATAGAGTCATGCATGACTAAATACTGATTAGGTTTGTCTTTGCTAAGAGGAGAACCAATTACTGAGTCACCAGCAGATATTTTGGACGCAATGCCCAGCATGATGTCTTTAACAACTCTTCTTATTTATACGAAAAGGGAGGAATAAAGCTGTCCTCATTCGATCTAAAAAGGCAATCTGTGTAAGCATCTAGGTTTTATTTGTAGATCTCAAAGGACTGGGAGACGACGGCAAGGCTCAATAAGTCAGAGATGTGTTTAAGTTAAGGGCAAGGCCGTTTAAAGATTTAAAGGAGAGCTGTAGGATTTTAAAATCAATGCAAAATCTAACATGGAGATGGCAGAAGGAGAGAAGTGAGAGGGCAATGCGATCATATCCCTTGGTCTCAGGAAGAAGTCAAGCAGCTGCTGAACCTTTTAAATATATAAGTAACTAAATAAAAAAAATTGGAAGAAGATGCTATTTAATATGTTGGAGCATTAAAACTAATGTAAGTGTCAAAAATTCATCAGGTTCTAATTCTGAAATATCAGCAAAGTTAAGAAATATTGATAGAGCTCTTCAGGATTTAGACAAGCTGGAAAAATTGTTTTGAAGCTAAATTAGGGTATTTAGCAAATAATCTGTTTAATCTGCAGACTAAGGGAGGTTAAAAATCAGCTTTGCAGCAGAGTGATAAAGTGGTTTGCACTGTTGTGCAAGAAAGTCCAGGGTTCTGTGTGTAGTTTGCATATTCTACCACTGTCTTTGTATATTTCCTCGGGGTGCCACAGTTTCTGCTACCACTACAGACATGCTGGTCAGATCAGCCATTAATGACAGTTTGCTCAGTCGCAGCAGCTCAGGCTAATCCTTCCTCTGATTTGCAAAAATTTTGTTGTATCTACCCTGTATGTATGATCACAAATAAAGCTTCATATCTTCATCTCGGTTTTTCTTTGAGAGAGTAAAAGCAGCTTTAACTGTGATATAATTGCATTGGTATCAACACATTTCTCTAAAATATATATTCTAATAAAATATGGACAAGAAGCCAACATTTGGAAATATTTAAACACCAAATTGTTAACATCCACCTTGTTTTAAGTAATCCTTGCCTTTTTGCATAACCAAGTGGAAAAGCAAACAACCAAGAAACTGTAAGGCCAAAGCTAAAACCCTATAGTTTCTGAAAATATTAATGAAAATAGTGTGGCTAAAACACAGCCTAAACTGCATCAGTTCAAAGATTACCTAATTTTTTTTTATTCTCAAAAATAATAGGGCTTTTTCTTTTAATACCAGGTGAGTGTTATTAAATTAAATTTATTCTACATTACATCAATCATAAATGCTGAAAATTTCAGAACTCTAGGAATAACAGTGTCAGAGTTATGGGACTTTTAACTTTTGGTGTCATCAGCATCTCCAAACCTCTCCTAATATCCCAAATTACTCCAACTTGTGCTAATTGCTTTCACACAACAATTACACCCATAAAATCCCATTGAAGCATTTTGATGACCACAACATTTTTTTGAAGCATATATGTTTCTCTGTTTCTAACAGATTAATCTGATGATCTAACCGTGTGTAATGATTCAGTCTCTGCTGCGCCCATGTACTGTTAGGAAAGGCAATATATCAGGTCTGCATTATTCAAATTAGCCATGCTTACCCTTGTTTAAAACCATTGGCTACAAAGCAACACATTGCATACGGCCTTAACCAATAGCAGCCAGACTTTTATTTGGCATAATATGAATGGAGTCTGTGCGTAATGGTGTGTTCAGACCGGGTGCGTTGGACGCGGTTCACCGCTCTGCATTTCAGATGCACAGTGTTTGCACCCTTGACCGCATCATCAAAAAGGAGCTTCAACTGCGTGAAGTTGACACCCCACCAATGTGAAAAAAACTCAGCACTGCACTTCATTAGTGCACAAACGGAATATAAACAATTTAAGACAAAGATAACCTGCAAAAAATGGAAATCTAAATAAGTAATTTTTGCTCAAATTAAGTGCATTTTTTTCTTGAATTGAGGAGGTAAGTGAGACACTTTGCCAATGGAACAAGACAATTTACATTTAAAATAAGACAAAAACAATTGCTTTGTCTTATTTCAAGTGTATATTATCTAATTATCTTATGTTAGGAGTAAAGATACTTATTCCACTGGCAGATCCCCTTATTTACCTGCTCAAATTAAGGGTAAATACACTTAATTTAAGACTTTTTTTAACTTATTTCTAGATGTTTTTTTGCAGTGTATGAAGCAGAAGCTTTATTTTAAAAATTATAATTTTAAATGCTGATTTATTTTCTATTTATTGTGCATTGGTGATTGTTGAACTTGGTGGTTGAATTGTGGAGAATTTATTCCTTCTAAAGATGCATAACATGTCTTTATTGGTAAAATGTTAACCATGGTTTTTTTCATGCGTAATGCTGTGTTCATTGAAAATACACACAACAGGTCAGCGGCGGGCCGGTGGATTTTAAGAGGTTAAAACTGTAAAAAAACAAGAATTAAAAAACCCCTAAAATCTGCATGAAGTTATTACATAAAAACTTACTGCTGAATAAAGCCCAGAGGTCCAGTCTGGATAGTTTCCAGGATGTGGTAGGACTAAATCGTAGTGAAATTGAACTCTAATTATCGAGGGTAATGAGTTACAACTGGGTCAACAGGCAGTTGACCCAGTAAGAAGAACAAGACTGAAGCTGGAGCAGGATTCTCATTATATTTTTAGGAATAAAATGGAAGCTCTTGGAAGCTCAACACAGAAAGACGAAAAGGAGGAGGGGCTTGGGACTTCTTTGTTTCTATGTACACATTTGGTTTGACTTCAATCTATCAAAAACACACAACAGCACTGATGTGTCTCATATCAGTCAGACTTAGACGTATTTAATCTCCACAAAGACAGTTCCCAGATAAATGCTTTTACCTCTCAGATGCTGCTGTTGAGCATCACCCTAGAAAACAACCTAAAAACCACGAAAAACTTTATTTCAGCTGGTAGAATTGGGATGGATATAAGGCACTTCTTATGACTAGAAGAGAAACGATACTATCTGAGGAATATCTATCAGCCTCCTTTCTGACGCTTTAATCTATGACTTCCTACCTGCCTCTCTGCATTCAGTATCTTGGCTTTCCAATCATCTAAGAGCTCTTTCTTACCTGACTGAAACCTCCTTGGCTCAAAGCCATGTGGCTTTGAATCTTCCAGACAGGAATAGAGAACAGAGCAGCAATATTTCAAGATGTGTGGGAGCCCTGAACGCCCACAGAGCTAAAGCTTCATAGCTTTCTCGATCGAACGAGATGGCACAGGGCTGCTGGATGCACACTTTCTTTTTCTTTTTTTACCATGTTGCAAGACAGATGCAAAAAGATAAAAGAGCAATCGGGAAGGAGAAGAAAACAATTTTTTTTTACTCCCACCTGCACCACCAAGATGACCATGCCTATGGTTCCCAGTAGAAGCTTGTTGTCATCCAGCCATTCCTCCACTTTCTCAAAGCAGCCCTGTATTGCAAAACAAAACAGAAACTTATATATATATATATATATATATATATATATATATATATATATATATATATATATATATATATATATATATACATATATATTCTGATGGATAAATATCAGATTAGGCAAAGTTACACATAAACTCAGTGTAGGATTGTGGGAGAAAATCTGAGCAGATGTAAGGCAATTAATGCATTCTTTAACACAGATTGGGTCACTAAGTGTCAGAAGATGATTTTGAGAATCATAATGATGCAACCTGGAAGGTGTATGGAGGGCTAAATAGGGTGGTATTAAATAAATGTATCATGAAAAAGCCTCAGCACTGTTATTTCAGTAGAACCAGGCTGAAAATGTTTGGGAACCCCTAATATAGCAATTTTCTTCTGCTGTAGTCTCAATCAGAAGTCCCTCACTGTGAGGTGAGGGATTTAACTTTGGTTTCAATGGTAAGGAGATGCTCCTTCTTGAGTGGGGATCTGGAAGCAGAAAATGGAACCAAAGGAAATAATCAGGCAGCTGTTTCCTCTGGGCAGGATTACACACAAGCTTTCAGGGATGAGCTTTCCCACTGGACCACCTCATTGTCTGCCTATTCTCAGTTTGGCAGTTACATTACAGCTTTTAATCCTTTACCCTGGACCTGCTAACAAACCACATGCCAGACCAAGTAGGAAATTAGAGATGTAATGGGTTGAGGACGTTGTGCTGCGACAGCAGTTGTGAAACAGAAAAACGGCCCATAATGACAGGAATTCTGCAGTAAAAGTAAAACGGGTTTGAATGGACACAATCTGTAATGCAATCAATGAGCTTGTGGAACAAATATGCAGTAAATGTTGGATTTGATGTTGCATGTGTATCAGGTTGCATGACAGATACTTAAAACGAGATAAAGAGCTTAACAGCTTACAATGCAAAAGCATAACACTTTAAATGATTTCCAAAATTTGTCAGGCTCTTTTTGTGCTCTCTGGAATAGCTTTTTCATCATTTTGTGGTCACTTTCTGTGCAGATGTTGCTCATTTTATCTTCCGTGCCCTCCTTGGATTCTTCTCTGAGCATATTGTTTGTGTGCTTTTTGTCCATTTTTGCATTCCTTTGTCAGTAGTATTTTTCCCCCTCCTTTTGTAGCTGCATTTGCTGTGTGCATCTTTGTTCTCTGAACAATGGGACAAGAATTGCACTTATTCATGCACATCTCATACATCAAAACACCATTGAAAGGTAATCTATTTTAGTAACTCAACTGAAAAGGAAAACTCATAAACTGTACAGAATGATTGGACACACGAGGACATCTTCATAGTATTTAATATTAGTAAGCGTTGTTTTAATGCAAATATGTTCTGTTGAGGCCTACACAACCAGCTGCCGAGGTCACTGACACCTTCTACAAAGACGAAAAGTGACAAAAGGGTGCTAAATGTTTACAGTTCTCGATCCAAGCATATTATTAATGGTCAGCTTGGTGAAAGAGAAAAGAAAATTGTAACCAAGATATACAAAAAGAGCAGTTGGTAGGTAAACAAAGCACAACTTAGAGTCAGTCAGAATTTCTAAAACATTGCATATACAATAGATGTATCCAATGCATGGACTAAAGCTGTCATATTCTTCACCTCTTATTTCTTTTAAGCTGCTTCTGAAGCAGAGATATGAGGAAGATAATTTATACTTGTCTGGAAAAGAGAGACTGCTCACTGGTCCAAATCTGGCCAGAAATTACCCCTTTAGAAGAATCCAAGTTGCTTGCAGTCCAGTGTGAAGTTTTCACGGTCAGTGATTATTGGAGGAGCCATGTTATCTGCTGGTGTTGGTCCACTGGGTTTTATCAGATCCAAAGTCAGAGAGGAAACCTCAATGCAGAGCACTTTGTGCTTTTTTCTGCTGACAAGCTTTGTGGAAATGCTGATTTCCTTTTCTAGCAGGGCTTGGCCAAAAGTACCTGGCTTTAATCTCCACAGTAACTTCACTAAACTAGTCTGATCAGAAAGCTTAAAGAAATGCAATTTCAGTCTTCTATGTAAGGTACTGTTACGTGGTTGATTGACAGTAAGGTCTATTCTATTCTATTTTGATGTAAACCCATAGAGAATCTGCAGGCTTTGGTCAGGAGAGGATTACAGACATCAGAATGATGAAACCCTGAGTTAAATCCGAGTTAAAAACTCATATATTTAAAGTTGACCTTGATTGTTAAATATACTATACGCTGAAAGATATAATTTTTGTCTGTAGTCCAACTTTACTTTCTTTTATTAGATAAATCCAGAGTACTTTGGGGTTTTTTTCTATCAAAGAAATCTCCAATATAATAGATTTTCCCTACCTTGGAGCTCTCCGTTAAAGCAGCCTGTGCTTCCCGAACACCTCATCTATGCCATCTGGCATTGTGCCATTATTTCATGCAAAAGGAGCCCAGACAAGTACTGAGAGCATATTTTGCTCATACAGTAAAGTTGGGTTTCATTCCCCAGAAAATAATCAAATAAACAGAGATGTAATTCAAATGTATCATTCGGTATTTAATTCATTTATGTAAAAATGTGTTGAACCTTTTACTGAAATGAACAAACATGTAGTTGATATTGTTATAAAGTAGTGCAGGCTTGCCTTTACGTCACTGGGAACTCACCCCGTTCCAGAACATGTTGGTGGAGTTACGGCCACAGTTTTGGTAATGCTCTTGGCAGCAGCGGTCAGGAACCACTTTCTCCCTCAGGGCGTCGTGCCAGTCTGTGTACGCTATAACACCGCAGCACTTCCACTGTGATTGACACATTCAATTCAAAACAAACATAGTTAACACAATCCAAAGAGACCTGGGATAAACTTGGTGGTAAAACACATTTTTATTGGTTTGTTGGTCATAAATAATGGAAAGGAGACTGCTTCACCAGCCAGTTTAGAATTTTTTCAAATATTATATTAATGGTACAGCTACAAGTCTGAAAATGCATTAGCTGGAATATTTCAGAATAACTTTGAATTTAGGCGTTTAAACATTGATGTTAATGTTTCCAGTCCTTTTGTAATGTGCCGACCTCTGCCTGGATGATGTTCCATGCGTTTCGAAGGCCTATGTTGTTTTCTGAGTTGTAAAGGGCCAGCCCATCCTTCAGGTCCTGCTTAGCATTCTCCCTCACCTGCAGATAAAAAGAAAACATTAGCCTTTCGGCAGAGTGTTCGTCTCAGCGAGGGCAGTCATTTGAGCACCGGCTTTCCACAGAGTCTTTATGTGGTGTTCAGATTCAAGAAGGCAGTGTTAGCTTGAGTGTTTGCAGCTCTGCATCCACATCTCTTACTCTTTTCAAATCATCTTCCTTTTAATATAGATGTAAACAATTCTGCTATTACCCATGTTGTGCAGCGAGTGCTTTTAGAGGATGTCGAGCAACTGCAAGAAAATTGTTTTTTTTTTCATGACAAATAAGTGTTTTTACGAAAAGTACCAAGCACATTAATGGTGAAATGCAAAAAAAAAACCTTTGCAACAACTGTACAATGGCAATAAAACAAAAGCAAATTAAACGGAATTTCGGTAAGCACCTAATGCTTCTTTAATTGTGTTTAAATAGATGAGACTATATTTTCAAAAAGTATAGGGTTTACAGATTTCAGATTTCAGGAAGGATTATTCTTTGATACTCTAAAACAGCAGAGTGTAAATTTGAAAGAAATCATTAAAACTGCTGCATCTGAAATCCGCCACAGTAAGATCAGCTGTTAAACATTTGATTTAAATACTTTATTTCATGTTTGCTCTCCTTCTGCTATTATTATTTTTTTTTTCAGCACTGCAATGTCATGCTCTAGGATTAAGTTTGAAATAAATATAATTCATAGGTAGAAGTCAGTAAGCACATTTTGATGACATTAACCTGACTCCATTGACCCTAGCTCTGTACTGCTGCATTTTAGAGGAAACCGAAGTTCTGTAAAAATCTGTCAGTAATCTCTATAACACGAAATGCTGCCTGCATTTTCTATTACTAACTTAGTGCAGTGACTGTCAGTGATGGAGAAGAACACAGGAAGCAGTGCTCAGGAAATACATCGACGTGAGGCAGTGTGATCCCTGGAGATAAAATGTAACAAGGCCTGTTTCCTTCTGTGTCCATATGCCAAACTCAGACTCATCTATTAGATTGCCAGATAGAGATGCATGAACTGTCCCTCCAGAGAACATGTCTCAGCTGCTGTAGAGTCCAGGGGCAGCTTGTTTTACACCACTGCATCCGACACATTCAGCTTGTTGATGTTGAGTCATGGATGCAGTTGCTCAGCCATGGGAACCTATTCCATTAAGCTCTCTCTGCACTGTTTTTATGCTAATCTACAGTAAATCTACAGATTGGAAATCAGCAGCTACTGACTGCAATAAGGTTGGAGATATCAGTGCATTTTCTTCTCAGCTTTAATGACCCTACTATTTCGAGTTGCTGTCTTGCATGATTTTACAATAGAAATCAGGTAATCTGCAGCTTTTAGATGCTCACAAGAACGAGGACTGTAGTTTTTATTTTCTATCTTTCAGGCAACTGACAACTATTTTTTTGGTAACTACTCCTATTCTATTAGTTTTACCATTGCTGTTTTCTTTTCTGCCTATTTCATGCTTCATATGTGTTTATTTGTTTTGTGTAAAGCACTTTAGTCACCTGGATGTGTAAAGCTCTCTATAGAACGTTCCATTGATGGCATCCTTATGGTACTAAGATGGAATTAACTGAGCTCAAGAGAGCGACCCCTTCTAGTTGCTGGATTTTCAACAGCTATATTCATGAAATTGACAGGAACACCTGAATTTGATGAATGTCAGAATAGCTTTGCTAAGGCGGTGTATTTCAGTAAAAAAAGGTTCAATGTCTTGAAACAATTCCAAACATCTCAGCAATTCTACTTGAAGATTAGAGGCTGGGTTTGCATGGTTGATAGTGTTGTTCCTAGGTTTGAATTGAAGTCGGGCGTCTTTCTGCTTGGAGTTTGCATGACCATACCAAAATGTGACTAAAAGGTAATTTGGTCTGTGCACACTCCCGTTCCTGGCACTGTTGTTTGTCTCTGCATTGGTCTGTAACCAACAAAGAACCCTGCAGGGTGCACCCAAACTCTCACCAAGTAAGTGCTAAAGAAAAGCAACAGCTGCTGCTCCTCCATCCCCAAAAACCCTGCAAGGACAAGCAGGTATAGAACATAGGACGAATGCATGTATACCCTTAGTCCAGTATTAAGCGTGAAATGTTCAAACATTCACTGTACTGTAAGCATTACTATGGTTGAAATGTAATGTTCATTATTTCTGCAAAACTTTTTAGTTCTTTAAAGCCACAGTGGGGTGTTCTAAGAAAATTGTTGACTTAGCTTACAAAATTGGAACAGGCACAGCTTCTAGGTCCCTCTCCCTTTTTCTGTATGACGCTACAGTCCTCCTTGAACAACACCACAATATGCATGCAAGTAGGCGGGGCTAGCAATGATAGCCGATAATAAGCCCTGGCACACTAACTGGTAGGGGTGAAATAACATCTATGTGCTTTACATCGATGCACAGCTGCAGCAAAGGCAGTCTTGAGGTTGAAAAGAGGCAAGAGCTGTGCAGGTAGAGGGGATGTGAGCAGCACAAACAGATTTTCTTCTGTCTGTATTCTTCAAATAATAGTACAGAAGGGTCACTAGGAGATTTTTCTTTGATTATTCATATCTTACTTTACTGTGAGGACATAAAAACTGTTTTAATAAATATATGAAAAAAAAGTTAAAAAACAAAACTAGTTCTTAATAACCACTGAAACTGCTTCAGAGGAAAAAAAAAACAGACTGAAAACCAACTTTTTAAATAATTAGTTTGGCGGGTTTGTCACAAACTTTTTTGTGCCTTTGCAGCTGTGATAATGTGCCTTATTCAATTACTGAAGGCATTCTTCCTCATATTTGCAGGTACAGGTGTCAAGTCTGCATCCAAATTTTCCTGGCATTTAATGTAATCCATTCTTTCCTCCTTAGGTAAAACGTTTTCTTGCCAGTTGCTGCAACAAAAGATCATTCATGCACCTTTTATACATAACAGATGGAGAGGGATTCCATTGCTTTTTTTAAAGCATACCTCTCCTCACTAATTAAATTGTACTAGAATGCAACACATTCATATTCAATAATTCAGTGATTTGAAGGTTTATGTGCAAAATTTCGACCAACATGATGCTGTGCTACATTTTTAAAGAATCTTAAATCTTTTAGTTTAGCAGAGTACAATTCATCCTGAATTTGTCAAATAGGTACGCTTTAAATTTACCTCTTCCAGGAAGAAGCAACTAGGCAAACATCTTTGAGCCTTAAATTGATTTCTAATTGATTTGTTAAACATTTCTCACTTAAGTTACTGGATAAAAATGCTGCTACTTAAATATGCTTGGAACCTTGTATCATAGTATATATACTGTACAATTAAGTTAGATACAATTAATACAGTTAAACTTATAAAGCACTTCATAATAATACTGTTAACAAAAGACTGTGGTGGGCTGTGCAGACCTTCAAGGCCTTCACTTCAGGCCTAAAATCAATCAGAAACATTCACCTACATTCACAACCTAAACTTTAATTTTCTTCTTTCCAACTATATTAATCTATTCTAAACAATCCATTCTCTTAATTTTGTAGCATTTCTCTTTGCTGCGCTGTTTATGTGGTTGCTATATTTTTTGTCCAATCAGATTGTAGTTGCTATGTCAATCAAATCTGCCCGGCGCCTTCAGAATCTGCAGTGTTGAATGATTTTTCCTTTACAATATTCATGAGGAACATTTTCTTCGACTAATCAGATTTCAAATTTGTCCCACGGGACCAGCTAGCAGGAACATTACTACATCATTATTTTTCTGTCCTCTGATTGTTCAGTTAGAGCAAAAATATTTACAGCAAGGTTAAGCTGGCGACAATTTGTATTTTAGATGCGCTTTTGCAAAAAGGTTTTCTGTCCTCAATGGCTGATCCTACAGTAAATGGAGAGAGATTTCCTGCAAGAAGACAGAAGGATGGATTTTATTTAAAAATAATCAGCATCCTTGGTGGGTGCAATATATTTTATTTTCATGCTTTATGCGTTATTTTATCTGTTAATCAGATCCGTATTGAATCTGAACAGCTACTGATGATGCAAATGTTGCAGAACTGTGGTTATAAAGTAGTGGATTGTAGTTGTCTTAGCTGGGATATTTGTTTAATTGATCTCTGTATTCACCCTCACAATAATCTTCTTCTCGGCCATAACCAGTGATGGGAGTAACAATGTTGAAAGTTACTAACGCTGTTACCTTTTTATAGTAACAAGTAATCTAAGTAATTACTTTGACTGGGTTTAGAAGTCCATCAGATACCGTTCCCTCCATGTTAAGCAGGGGTAAAGCTTTCTGACAGGGTTTATAGGCCCGTCAAATAGCATTCCACCCGATGCCATTTACATTGAGTTGCAATACATGCAAAACTCTGCAGGTACTTTTCTTTGTCGTCCACTCTATTCAGCTGGCATCTGAAACACACGGGAGAAGGTGGGGGCCGGAAGGTGAGGGTTACGGGGGCGAGAATCGCAAAAGTAATGCAATAGTTACTTTTACTAGTAACTAGTTATCTTTATTGTGGAGTAACTCAGTTAGTAACTCTGTTACTTTTTGGGTAACTAGTAACTATAACTAATTACTTTTTCAAAGTAACGTGCCCAACACTGGTCATAACACATACAATTGGGGGTTTCTGTTTTTAAACGTTGAAAATTAATGTCCAAATGTATATATATATATGTATACCATATATACCATATGCAGTGCCTGCCACTGACCGAAGAGTATGCATAAAACAAATAAAATGCCAAACACATAAAATTAAACAAAATAAAACAGTTATTTATTTCTTTTTTCTTTCATTTAAATGAAATATTTTTTTATTTTATTTTTTCTATTTAACTTCCTTAATAAATTAGCATCTTTCAACAGATTTTATATTTTCTTTAGACCATGTGGAAATCTGGTCATAATTTTCTCCTTTAAAATGATTCCTGCAAAAGACACAACATCACTCTGATCCACTTTGAAAATAGTAATTAAGACTTTCATGTGATGTCTGTGGTTGTGACACTTTGTTTCGCCTA